AGTAATATAAAAGTATATTCGCGGAATGTGGAAACCGGACGATGAATATGAAATTGAATTAAATTAGTACAAACATAATGTTGTTTCAATAAGATCTTAAACCAACAATTTGGCGCGCTTCGATCATATAATAACCCTCGGCCTAACTAACACCGGTTTCGCCTTGCACAGTATTCTTAAGTGAAACTTCTTTGTAAGTTGGCGGCCTTCGGGCGAGCTTTAGATTGTAACCGTGGGCCGAACTAACACAGTATTCAATTAAAACGTGGTGTACTAAACTTTGAGATATAGCGTTTTGCAATTTTCGAAAATCCTGAAATCAGAGCCAACCGCGATCATTAATTCACTCTGTTCTACCTTTTGGGTCTGTTTTCTCCACCCTCTGAAACTCGAATGTATTAGAATATTTTTACATTTTCTCTTTCAAATTCTTTTATATTAAATTTCAGAGAGTTTTATAATGGGGTGAGTTTTGTATAGAGTTTCTTTTGATGAAAATTGCTAAAAATATAACTTTAAAATTATTCAAAAGTTATTAACATTCAAAGTTACACTTTTTATTTACACCGTTTGTACTTCACTAATAAACAGACTAAGGCCTCCAGGATGGTAGACACTTCGCCGTTGGTGTGGGGGCTTGATAATCAAGTCCATCCACGGAGATAAACTTGACAGATAAAGTGCCAACAAGTATGCCAACCTTTGATCTGAGTAGAATAGGCTGCGGATTGAGCAGTGACCAAGCACAACTACCCCTCAAGAGGCAGCTGTAGTATAACGGTGCCTTCTCGACACAGGGCCTCCTCGGGCTGAAACGGTGGCCTTACTGCGGCACGAAGCGCTGCCGTAGCGGACGAATAGTTTCCCTTACTATATATTTGACCAAGACGCGGGTCGTGACTCGCAAGTGGTTATACGAACAAGATGAATCACAATTACAATAATATCAAGCACAACGACAACGAAAAACAGTACAGCTCTTTTTCCAGAGCATGCCCGGCAAGACGACAACAAGTAGACGGGCTTCTAGAAGTAGTATTGCTAATAGTGTTCCCTCGTTGAGTTGTCTGAGGAGAGCTCCACTAGTAGCAAGGTGGTACTCGCTGAGCGGTTTCGGGAGACCTCCAAACACTTCCAGAATCAACCTTCACGGCATTGGCTAGAGAAGCGCGAAGGTGAAAAGAGCAGGCCGACCAGCATAGACAAAATAGTGGAAAAGACAATATTAACTAAAACTCATCGAAGAGAAGGTCGAAGAGAAGGTCAAAGAGAACCCCAATTAAAAGGATCGATTGTGAACGAAGCAGATGAAGCACAGGAAGCAGCAGATGTGACACGCCAGACAGCAAGCGTTCATCCACGGAGCGATCGACCATCAGTGTTGAGGGCCTTATACCTCCACATGGACGTACATCGCCAATTCGAAAACGAATGTCACAAAACAAAGCCGAGCGGAGAAGTCAGAGCGTTGAGGGCCTTAGACCTCCGAAAAGACTGAACTTTCCCAGCTGAAACCAGGGGTGCAGAAACGCAGAACGTTGGGCAGTGGTATCTCACCGAGATCGGACCGAAGTAAAGTGCGAGTCGTCAAAATCGTCAAAGATCAAAAAATACTCAAAAGGATAAAAGAGAAAACAATTACAACACAAAAGGATGCTAACAAACGGAAAAAGTAGGACAATCAGGAAACTGAAGTAACTGAAACAAAACGAACCCCTACAAAATCAACACAAGAAAAACTACTATACGACAAGGACCACAAAGGAGCCTTTGTTGCAACCGTAGACACGAAGTTTACTGGAAATGGCAGAAAAGCAATCAACGGGATTGTTAAAGAAATTTAATTTCAACAATATAATATGTAACAATGCGGAAGAAGCAAATAAAATTGCTAATAGTAAAGAATTTGGGGAAAAAGAAATTGCCAAAGTGGGAATCATCTTCGATATTCAAACCGAAATACCCATGGACGAGCTACAAAAGAGATAATTTCTACAATACCGCTACATAAAATAATAAAGGTAGAAAAAGAGACAAGGAAGACAAGGAGAATAAAATATCGACAAGACAAGTGAAAATCCTATTTAAAGATGAGCAACTCACAGAATATGTCATTTATGCACATACCAAAATTCACATAAAGCCATTCATAGCCCTGACTTAATGCTACAAATGCTTTAGGTACAAACACTTCGGGAAACACTGCAAAAAAAAGCGGTCATCTCGAAGAGGAACCCTGCCAAAAGGTTGTGGGCATAAACTGCAAATGCGATATGCTCCAACGTCCACGGATTGCGCGGTGTTGCGGTTCGCTGCCTGTTTACTTTAAGCGCACATACTTTTGCACATACATATACATATAAATATTGTCTACAGTACATATTAAGTTTAGTTATAAGAGAAAAAGTCTCCACTCTCTATTATTTGTAATCGCTTGCGGTAAATACAATTTGCTTACAAGTGTATAAAAACAGATGTTTACACAAAACTTTACGTTTAGTTGCCGATCAGCGAAGGAAGTGGAAGATGTACTGCGGTAAGTCTATGTAATAAGTGATAATGTACTTTATTTAAGATGTAAATTTTTTTAGAAATAAACGGAACCTTTTAAAATAAAATTTATTTGGTTCTTGTTAAATTCGCTCCACTGGATCGGTAACATCTTTATTTCGCAGTACTAATTCGTTTTGGTACTGCAATATTTTTTGCCGTTTTGCCATTGCCGATTATAATTTGGTTGCCATTTCCCGTTCACAATTTACATGGGCAAATCACCTCGCCGTAGCCCTCGATTACATAGTGACACAATGGACGTTAATAATCCAGCATCGACTCCCGCAACGTCGAATACCGCAGCCAAGAAATCTACTTCACAAAATGATAAGGTCACTGCCACCATTACCGCAGGCACAGCCAGTGCCCCTTCAATTGCTCCTACCTCTACTGGAACAGTTAGCCGTAACTCTTCTACGCCATCCACGCCAGGAGCATCAACGTCAATTTCACGTCAGGAAGCCATAATGCAAGCCATGAAAAAGCGTATTGCCATGTTGGAGAATAGCCTGAAAGCAGCTGAAGTAAAGCTTAAGGAACACGAATCCCACATTGAGACTGTCAGCTCCTCAATTACCTCAAATACAACAAGTTGTACCGCTCCCAGATTTACAGTTGCCGCCAAATACCGGCACAAACTCACAGCCGTTAGCCTCTCTAACAGATAGCCGCCAATTGCCAATATCTTTTGCAACGACCACACAGAACATGTACACAAATTCTGACATTCATCAGAGTGACAATCTATCAGTGAATTCCAATACTCCCATTAATGCCAACATGGGCTCTGTAGCCACACACTCGTCCTACTTACCTAGACAAATGCAAGCCTTGCCGGATTTCTGTGGGAAAGCAGAAGATTGGCCGATGTTTTACAATGCTTTCACAAAATCCACCGCAGTCTATGGGTATAGTAATTTTGAAAACAATCAACGGCTACACAAGTGTTTGAAAGGTGAAGCTCGCGAAACTGTGAAGTTTTTGCAACGTCAATAATATTATCGAACAACTGAAGTTTAAATTTGGTCGCCCTGAACAGTTGATTCGTTGCCAGCTAGCTCAAGTAAAGGAGATTGCACCCATTACAGAGAGTGGTGTCTTGAAATTAGTGTCATTTGCTATGAAGGTTAATAACATATGCATTTTCTTACAGTCAGCTAACGGAGGAGATCAACATCTCGCCAACCCTACGCTACTCGACGATCTCGTCATGAAATTGCCGATGAGTAAACGAATTGAATGGGCTACTTATGCAGCATCCATACAGCCATATGCTACAATAGTACAGTTTAGTCAATGGCTCACGAGATTAGCCAATGTTATCTCCTCAGTTAATGATGTCGAATTAATACGCGATTCCAAACGCCGTGTCGTGTTGCATGCTGCCGAGTCACAACGTCGGCAGAGCTGCCCCATATGCCGTGGCCCTCATAAGATAGCGGAGTGCAATAAATTTATTGAATTCACAGTGCCGAGAAGATGGAACGAGACGAAGAATCTTCGCCTATGTTTCTCATGTCTCAATGCTGGCCATGGAACTCGCACTTGCCAACGTCGGAAGCCATGTTCTACCGAAGGATGCAGAAGAATGCACCATAACTTGCTCCATGAAATAGCACCGCTTTCCACAGTTACTCAACAGTCATCACAAGAGGAAAGGCAGAGTGGAGAGGAATCAGTTCTTAGCTGTAGTACCGGCTTTAACAATAAAAAGCTGTTTTTTAGATTTTTGCCAGTCGTGTTATATGCAAACCATAAGCGCGTTGAAACGTGTGCGCTGTTAGATGAAGGCTCATCGATTACAATGGTCGACAATGCTCTTTTGAAGGATTTGGATTTACGTGGTCGTGAACAAAGTTTAAGGTTGCAATGGTTCGGAGGTCGATCTGCGCAAGAACTAGCCGTGGTAGTAGACATGTTTATTAGCGGTGCCAATATGCAAAAACGCCACAAATTGAGGAATGTATATGGAGTATGAGTTGAGTTGTGGTGATGCATATTTACGAAAGCTGCCAGTACAAACATACTCGCATATCCGGCCTAGGTTGTTGATTGGTCTGGACCATGCCCATCGCGGTTTACCATCGTTTACAATGAAGATGAACAGAAACGGCCCGTTCGCAGCCAATACATCGCTAGGATGGGTGGTTTTCGGTCCCACAATTGACGAACAGCAGTCTTCGCAGTTATGTTCGCTAATGAATTACAAGAGGGACAATTCTTTACATAAGTTGGTGGCGGACTATTTCGACACCGAAAGTTTCGGAGTCAGGTCATCACTCCCAATTGAAAGCAACGTTGTCGTTCTTGCGAAAACAATTCTGGAGAAAACTTCACGCCGCATTAATGGAAGATTTCAGGTAGGCCTTCATTGGAAGCACGAAAATGTTAAGCTTCCTAATAGTTATTGCATGGCGTTGAGAAGGCTGAAGAGTATAGAAAACAAGATGCTTGGAAATGTTGAGTTTGCTGCCGAATACAAACGCATCGAGTACTATATAGCCAAGGGTTATGCCCGGAAGTTATCGGCAACAGAAGCTGGCTTGAGTTCACCAAAAACGTGGTACCTACCACACTTTGCCGTGTCTAACCCTAATAAGCCGGGCAAACTACGTTTGGTTTTTGATGCTGCTGCTGAAGTCGAAGGTGTCTCGTTGAACGCACATCTTTTGAAGGGACCGCAGAACTACAAATCGTTGCCATCTATTCTCTTTCATTTCCGCCAAGGTGCGATGGCGGTAAGCGGAGACATAAAAGAAATGTTTCACCAAATATTAGTGCAGCCAGAGGATAGATGTGCACAGCGATTTCTATGGAGAAATGGTGAGAGTAATAGGAGACCAGAAGTCTATGAGGTGTCGGTAATGATCTTTGGCGCTGCTTGTTCGCCATGTGCAGCCCACTATATTAAGACAGTTAACGCGCTAGAACACCGCTCTGATCATAAGAACGTAAGTCGTGCTGTAAAGTCCATTTTGGAGCATCACTACGTGGACGACATGGTTGACAGCTTCGGTTCAGTAGAAGAAGCCATCACTGTTTCGGAGATGGTACGAGCTATACACTTAAAGGCTGGGTTCGAGCTTCGAAATTTTGCTTCAAATTCACAAAAGGTAATGAGTGAGATTGGTGGTAAAGAAATAACGCGTGCCATTTCAAAGAAAGAAGGAGTGCTGGTGGAAAAGGTGCTCGGATTATTTTGGCAATCTTCAACTGATTGTTTTAGATTTCAGTTGAAGTTTAATAAAGTTGATGCGGCGGTTATTAATGGAACGAGATTTCCCACCAAAAGAGAACTCCTCAGCGTTGTAATGTCGATCTTTGATCCTTTGGGATTTTTATGTAATTTTGTCGTGGGTGCTAAGGTAATAATGCGCGAGGTATGGAAACACAATATTCATTGGGACGAGCCGTTGCCGAGCGACATTAACGATGCATGGGAGAGATGGCGTAACCAACTAACTGCAGTCGTCAAATACACTATTCCACGTTTCTATTTCCTGAAAGGTATGCCAAAAATATTGCAGCTCCATGTGTTTGTTGACGCCAGTGAGGTGGCCTTTGCCGCAGTCGCCTATTGGAGGTCAGAAAGTTTCAGCGGCGAAATTGACGTGTCATTTATTTCTGCGAAGTCCAAGTGCGCTCCAATAAAACCACTGACAGTGCCTCGACTTGAACTTCAAGCAGCAGTCTTAGGAAGCCGCCTAATGAACAATATACGTAAGGAGCACTCTTTAGATATTAGTCAGTGCGTTCCGTGGACCGATTCTAAGACTGTAGTTAGTTGGATAAGGTGTGAGCATCGTCGGTACAAACCGTTTGTACAACATAGAATTGCGGAAATATTGACGGCTACAGATGCTACGCAATGGAAGTGGCTACCAACGGATTCGAATGTTGCTGATGAGGCCACACGTACGAATAATCGCATTGACTTCAGGCCAACAGGTCGTTGGACATCTGGTCCAGCTTTTTTACACCAGTCGCAAGATCATTGGCCTGGAAGCAACATTGAATTGTCAACTGAAGATCCTCTTGAAGAAGAACTTCGCCATAAATACGCTTTGGTAATCGTACATACTGATATATTCGAATTTAAACGTTTTTCTACTTTCATGAAACTGGTGAGAGTTGCAGCATGGGTGCTACGCTTTATACATATCTGTCGTCGCCGTATGCAACCAGAAACTCGATATGGTTTGACTGCTGGAGAAATCAAACCTGCCAAGAAGTTGCTTTGCCGTTTCGTTCAAGAAGAAGCATTTACCACAGAGATTCAGCCGATAAAGAATGGTCAAAATATTACCAGCAATAGTACGCTTCTTCAGTTTTCGCCATACATAGATGAAGAAGGCGTTCTTCGCGTAAATGGTCGTATAGACGCTGCCAGCTGGTTGCCTGTAAACTGTAGACATCCCATCATTTTGCCACAAAATCACCATTTCACGAGACTTGTGATGCATTATCATAAAATTATGCGCCACCAGAACCATGAAGCTACCATATGTAAGATTCGTCTTAGCTTTTGGATTTCAAGACTAAGAACGCTATTACGTAGTGTTGTTGGAAACTGACTAGCGTGCCGCGTTAGAAAAGCACAGCCGGAATCTCCACAAATGGGTCCATTACCCGTTGACAGGTTGACTCCGCATATAAGACCATTTAGTTACACTAGATTCGACTACTTTGGCCCAGTAACTGTAACCATTGGTCGTAGTACGGCAAAGAGGTGGGTAGCTCTCTTTACTTACCTGACGGTTAGAGCTTTGCATTTGGAGTTGGCACACGACCTGAGCACTGACTCGTGTATTGTCGTCCTATGAAATTTTATGAAACGTCGTGGTGTTTCTATACGTCTGCGTTCCGACAATGGGAAGAAATTTGTTGGTACTGATAAAGAAGCCAAGCGATTTGCAGAAGTATTCGACTGTGTACGTATGCAAGACGAGCTGTCGCCATATAATACTGCAGAAGGCGGAGCCTGGGAAAGATTAGTACAATGTGTCAAAAAAGTTTTACGCCAGACATTGAAAGAGACAGCGGCGAAGGAACATACGCTAAACTGCCTTTTGATCGAAGCGGAAAATATTATAAACTCACGGCCTTTGACGCATCTGCCAATATCCATGGATGAAGATCAGCCCTTGATTCCTAACAATTTTCTTCTGGGTGAACCTAACAATGCACAGACGCCTATCATAGAAGATATTACAGACTCCGTTTGCAATCTACGTCAGCTGAGGGATCGCTTTTGGAAGCGATGGATCGCTGAATATTTACCTGTATTGACTCGTCGGGTCAAGTGGTGCCAGCTAAAAAAACCTATCCGAGAAGGCAACCTGGTCTTCACATGCGACTTCAATGTGCCAAGACGAGAATGGGGTCGCGGTAAGGTAGAAAAACTCTATTCTGGAGTCAGATCAGGCGTGCATACGTACGAACAAGTGGCGGCGTAAAACAACGTGCTGTTTCAAAGCTGGCGGTGCTGGATATTAGTGATGGTGAATCTGGGTAATTCACGGGGGTGGGGATGTTGCGGTTCGCTGCCTGTTTACTTTAAGCGCACATTCATCTGCACATATATATACATATAAATTTTGTCTACAGTACATATTAAGTTTAGCTATAAGAGAAAAAGTCTCCACTCTCTATTATTTGTAATCGCTTGTTAGACTTCTGAGCTCCCAACATTGTAAATTAGATACATACATATGATCGAACTGTTATTCGCTAATTCGTAAGCACACTTAAATGCAGTTGCTATTTTATGTACATACATATTTAACTCGTCCTTTGTTAGTGTATTTTGTTTGGTCATTTGTTAGGAAATTGCGTTACATCTCTTCACTTTCCTGGCTGCCCAATTTGTACAGTAAATACAATTCGCCTACAAGTGTATAAAAACAGATGTATACACAAAACTTTACGTTTAGTTGCCGATCAGCGAAGGAAGTGGAAGATGTACTGCGGTAAGTCTATGTTTCAAGTTTATGATGTACTTTATTTAAGATGTAAATTTTTTTAGAAATAAACGAAACCTTTTAAAATACAATTTATTTGGTTCTTGTTAAATTCGCTCCACTGGATCGGTAACAGTAGGTCAAAACTGAAGCGTTGGACAAATCACTTTTTAAATTATTGAATTCGCGCTCTTGTTCTACATGCCAGACGACTAAATATTTTTATAAATCGTTTAAAAGTTTATTTTTCATAGACAAAATGCTTATAAAAGCTTCCGAGTAGTTGAACATACCGAGGAACCTTTTCAACTCCGACACAATTTTTGCAGCTGGCATTTCCTGTAAAGCTTTAATTTATTAAAATACGATTTTTTCGAAAACATACCCAATAAATTTAATATTTTCTATTCGAATTTTAGATATTTCTCTATTAAATTTAACTCGAGCCTGGCTAGCTATTTCTAGTACTTTGTTCAAATTACGTTTATCAATGCTTTTCGCATAAATCAAAAATATCATCAATATAGATGATTAGACCTTCAATATCTGCAAGTAATTTCATTCCGAAATGAATGAAAAATTTTCGGAGCTGCACTTATAACGAAAGGAAGTCTTAAACACCTATACCGATCGAAAGGCATATCACATGTACACAGATTTGATGCCTTTTCATCAAAAGTGATCTTACAAAATCCACAATTGGCATCCAGCGACCTAAAAATCCTAGCACCCGTTGACTTTGCTCTACATTCGTCAATGTTAAGAAATGGAATATGTGGTATAAAAATAGCTTTATTTAGATTTCACGGGTCAAGACAAGACCTTAATTTTTTACCAACACAATTGATTTCAGTTGGCTCACATTCATATATAATAACTTCTGAACTGACCACCCTTTCCAATTCCTCTTTCAATTATTTATATAAACTTTACTGCATTTTTCTTAGAGTATATATAAATGGTTCATAGATAGACTTTAACTTTAAGCTTCCCTTATTGGTTAAAGACATAAGACCAAAGCCCAATTGCATTTTTGAATTTATGATAATATTAACAGTATGGAATGTACAAGGTAGCTTTTTAGTTTTTAAAATTATATTAATGCTAACTATTTCAATTAGTGGTCGCCAAAGAAATTTGCTAAATTTGAACTAGACTTACAGCCCTTGACAAATTAACAAAATATTGATAATTTATCATGATTTTTATCAAGCAAGAATTTATTAAGTATTCTGTTTCAATGAAATGTAATGCTGTTTTTCCTAACATTAATTCTTCTAGAATTAATGAAGTATAAATAAACAAATATGTATATATAATTGTATTAGTATATTTGGAAAGTCATATGTGAAAATGTTTATATTTATTTTGATTATTGTACTTTAGTTCTATAGAAGATTTAGGTTCTTTAACTGACGTTAGAAGCCCCGGCTCTAGAGGATAACTTGAATCACCGATTAGTTATTGTGCTTTTTATGCCGAATTTTCTAAAAAAAAAACTGGAATACATTTGAGAGAAATAAGCTTACGTGGTTTTTTTATTTGCATTAACATACGCTATTTTAACATCAGTTTCTTTCTGTGCCGAACTGGGAATTTTTTTCCTCTCTTCATCTTTACTTAAAGCAAACTTCTGGAAAGAAACGACTGAATCATGGGCAAGTCAAAAGTTGTTGCCTACACGTTTTTGGTATGAGACATATCCAAAGAAGTTTAAAGCCACCAGCGCTCTTATCATTGAAGAGAGTGAGGTTTTTTGGTATCATGGCCCCACATGATGTCATCTATGAGATGACGGCAAATTTCGCAAGTCAAACGAAAATTTTGCCAAATGTGTTATCACTTAACGAAAATGGATAACTAGCGTCTCTTCTTTTTAAGTGACACGAGCGATCCCTATTTACGAAATTTCCCTCTTCGTCCGACAACAACAATATAAGTAAAATATCTATCTTCCTTTCGTACAATTTGTTAATCAAAACTATGCCCAAAAGTAAAAAGATGTTTTATTTGATATTTTGATAATTTATCAAGAAAAAAGATTTTTATTTTCGATACCGAAAATAAAAAATCTTGCTAAATTGTAAATCTTGATAAATAAGCAAGATGGCATGTTCATCAATTACGCAGAGTAGGCCTGTTAGTAATATATTTACTTAGTTTTAAAATACGTGCATCTCATACGATAAAACGTTTGCCTGCGCTCCAGTATCAAAAACACATTGTACTTAATGAGCGAGACACTTACCATCCATTTGGTTATGCTTCTGCTGCTTTTACACGTTTCTCGTTTCTGTTGCAGTTCTCTTTCCGTTACCGCTGCTTGAATTCCTAAGAAAAACACCTATCTGCTGTTGGCTTTTCGATAATGGTTCTCAAATCTCCCATTTTGAGATTTTGATTGATGTTGAATAATGATCTTTCTTTAGGTATGTATAACAAGAAGCACTTTTTGCTGAAACTTTATATTTGTGAGCCTGCCCACATTTTTCACAGCCTCGTATTTATATTCATTGACAGACGCACATTTTATTTTTTGAATTTTCTTTAGCAGTTTCTATGTTTTTGTCTATTTTCGATTGCTCTTTCAAGTTAAATGTCACCTTCAGACAAAAGCCTTTATTTAATTTAGCGATACCCAGCTCCTAGGCAGCACACAAAAATATCGCGTACTAAATCTTCACGTATGTCACCAAAATCTCAAGAAAGACTAAGATATTTTAATTGAACCACTTCATTTATCGTAACTCTGCGGTGTAAAGATATTTTGATTTGTAATTGGATGGGTTTCATTCTTCTGAAGCTGAGCTGAACTTGGGGCTAAGAAAATTTAAAAAACCGGTTGTGGTACTTTATTTCTACTGATTACATTTACTACCACCCTAACATCAAAGACTGCTCTTCTAGAGCTTCTTTTATTTTACTTGAGTCAACCGAAGCATTTATTCCTTTTATAACTTTTTTCTGGCCTTTTGCGCTCTTCTACTGGTGAGAGTAATAATTCCTATTGTTGGCTGAGAGAATTTTTCACCATGGCTGCAAAAACCATTGTTGCACTACTCCTAATATGTTTGGGTCGTTAATTGCACGCAAACGGATTTCACCAAAAGGCAAAGGACTCGGTCTCACGTGTTTCAAACTGTCAAACTCATCTGCTGTATTCTCGTAACAATTCTCCTTAAAACAGATTCAAAACGATTTAAGAGTCACCGATATTTTAATAAATCGCTCAATGAATGTAGTGGAGTACTCCCCACGTGATTATAACTGGATTAACAATTGCCTGCCGTTTGTTCCTTTTTTTGCTGTTTGACCCAAAATATATATTACCGTATATATCACTAACACATTAATAAAAGGGAACATTATGAGTTTAAATGATATAGAAAGTAAAGTTAATTTCAAATTCTGCCCTGTTGCTATGCGGCTGGATAAGTCGGCTTGCTTCTAACTTCACTATCGGTCAATACGAACGTTCTCACTGACTAGTGTTGCCACACTTTACATATGTATACATATATATGTATATATTGTTACGATTTTGCTGAATCAACCTCGATGATTTTCTGAATCCTTAGGGTACGATCTCTGGATTGTTAAATAAAATATCGCCA